ATATGACTAAGACACCTATTGACCCCTGAACTCTGCGCCACTCACTGCTGACTCCCTGAACTCTGCGTCACTCACTGCTGACTCCCTGAACTCTGCGTCACTCACTGCTGACTCCCCTGAACTCTGCGTCACTCACTGCTGACTCCCTGATCTCTGCATCAACTCACTGCTGACTCCCCTGAATTCTGCGCCACTCACTAGTGAACCCTGAACTCTGCATCACTCACTAGTGACCCCTGAACTCTGCGTCACTTACTACTGACCCCTGAGTCACTCACTACTTAGCCCTGAACTCTGCAGTAAGTGATACAGAAGTCAGCAGTAAGGGATAGTGTTCAGAGGTCAGTAGTAAGTGATACAGAAGCCAGTATTAGAGGACACAGAGTTCAGATGTCATTTGTAGGTGTTGCAGCATCCAGGTCAGTAGTACGTGATGTTGCCTTCACAGGTCAGTAGTGACGCAGACATCAGTAGTAAGGGATGTAGAGTTCGGAGGTCAGTAGTAAGTGACGCAGAGGTCAGCATTAGGTAATGCAGCGCGTAGATGTCCGTAGTAAGGGATGAAGCATTCAGAGGTCAGTGGCAAGTGATGCAGAGTTCAGAGGTAAGTAGTGACGAAGAGGTCACAAGTAAGTGAGTCAGTATTAAGTAATGCAGAAGTCAGGGGTCATAAGTAAGTCACTACTGACCCCTTCTGATACCTGAACAAGTGCCCCAAAGTCTAGTGTTGGGCCCTGGACCCTCTAATGTACCTCCACAAATACTGTTCTGCACATTACTTATTCAGCACTGCCTTATCCATTACTATAGAATTAGGTGCCCGGTCATACTGGTGCGATTTGCGAATTGAAATTGCATCAAATGAATCTGAATGCGAGTATCTTAACATGTGCGATTTGCTGCAGTGCGATTTAGTAGTTCTTGCATTACTTTCTCTGCAGGTTGTTGCGATTTCACATGCACAGAATACAATGGAAATTGCAAAGCAAATCGCAACAAATCGTTGAAAATCTTCACAAGCCGCAATAAAGTCTTCAGAAATTGCACACGAATTGCGCGATTTTAAATTGCAGTAGTGTGACCGGGGAATTGACTCAGTAACCACACTCCATTAAGCCACGCCCAATATTCAGTGCAATGAGAAACACGGTCACAGTTTGACACTTTTCTTATGTTCAGAAATGGGGACCTAATCATGGACACAGGACTGGACGCACAAATGCTTCAGAAAATGCATATCTACAAAATGTATTGCATACGAAAGGACTTACAAGGCCATACTTGATGCTGAGGACAAATTACCACCAACAGAGTGGCCCTTGTGACGTTCACAAGACTGCATAGTCACCAATCATGGACACGTCTGTGCCATTTAGATGGCATCTTTTAAAACCTGTCACACGTTCTACCCTTTATTAAATCTCACACATACTTGTTATGGAAACCCACCTGTACATCTAAATCTAAGTCGATGTTGTCACGAATGTTGGTGTTTCAGGCTAACAGGTCCTGCTGTCTGTCCGCCATAAAGGGGTGAACCTTCTTCCCTTGCAATACATGCAGAGAACAGTGAAGAGACTGACCCCTGACCTATATATAGGACTTTTTTTTCTCAAGAATTAAATGCAGGGCCACTTCTGGTCTCCCCCCCCCCCCCCCCCCCACAGTAACATAACATGGTTGCACCCTCCACCTGCAAGTACCACTCCTTTCAGAGACTACAGAGCCAAGTATTCTCCAGGGCTAAGTATTTTGTATGGGATTTGTTGATGACAACAAGAAAGGCAGTAAAATAGATCTTCCACAGCCAGCATCAATAGACCCCACCAGCAATAATATATCCCCCCACCAACAATATCATGCCGCAACAAAATACCACCCCAGCAACAACAGACCCCGGAAGCAACAATAGGTTTCCCAGCAGCCGGCATCAATAGACCCCTCCCTCAACAACAGATTCCCCCACCAGCAACAATATACCTCCCTAGAAACAATAGACTGCCATGCAAAAATAGATCCCCTCCAGCAACAATAGATCAACCTGCAGCCAGCATCAGTAGACCCTTCAGCACACCCGACCACCCCTTGCCATTACATACATTCAGTCCTGAAGGTGCCAGAAACTGCGTTCCCTCACATTGCCACTTGAAAAAAGCCTTGCCTATATACTGCAATAAGCTTTGCTGCACATCTATACTGTAAACAGCTCAACTGTGCTGGTTTCCATCAGGGGCACTTCTGTGCAGCTCATAACCCTACCCGTGCTGTCTCGATGTAAACAACCCAACTGAGGGTCCTTCTGTACAACTCAGCTATTTAATCCCCCAGAGATTGTGATGTTCAAACCCTTCTTAAAGGGCTGAAGTATCGCTCTTAGTCTGGCCCATCACTACAAGACCTGTCCAGCTGGGGTGTCCCCACCAAAAGCATAGGCTCCCACCGGCACACCCTCCAATGGTCATTTAGGCACGCAAAGCCATTCCACCACGACAAGGTGGCAATACCATTAGGAATGGAAAAAAGATGGGAGAATGGTGGCTGCACTCTCTGCCCTGTACTCTCTGCCAGAACTGCTAAAAGAGGTTTTTGCTTTGACAAAATAATACCAACACTAGCATATTAACTCTCTGAAATCAAATCTACCCCCCCCCCATAGCCATACACACCGATGTATGTGATGATAACAGATCCTGCTCTTCCCACCATGTCTTCCCCACGCAAAGGGATACACCACCTTCCCCCTTTTACAGTCGCCATGCTCGTGTAATCTCCACAGGATGCAGTTAAAAGACTTGCACATTTCCTAGTGGAATATTCCAAAAATGTATGTCGCAAGATTGCACTTTATGCTGACAAGTAATTTATCACCAGCAAAGTCCAGGAGGGCTGAAAATCCTGGTCAGGTAGCTATGCACCCTTGATGGAGCTGGTGGGTTCTTATGGAGTGCGGTCACCGATTAGTGAGAGATACTGCAGAGAACCCGGCTGGTGTGCTGGCTGGGGATCAAGCAATGAAGAGATGGACCCAGGGATCTGCTGGTTTTCAGTAGACAGATATTCTTTTATTAAGTGTTCTTGCAAGAACACTTATTGTTATCTCACATATATATTCCTATTATTATAGCCAAATTTACCACCCTAACTCCTCCCACAGTTTTTACACTACATAGACAAGTAATATACCCAAATGTGCGGATTGTTCCCGATTGGTGTGTTATTACTTTGTGGAACGTTTTGCCAAATGGTTCACGAAATATTGCCGTTTTTGTGGTGAAATTTTCCCATAGGAATGAATGGCAGAATGTTCAAAACTAGAGTGTGAGCTGACAAAAGCTAGAGTGTGAGCTGAAAAATCAGGACATGATTTGTAAACTGCTATCACTCCCTCATTTTCAAGCCCACCTACACATATCTTATATCAAAACGTTCAGCTATCCCTACTGCCACTAAAAATGTCCATGGCTAAGCCATAGCCCTTATAGTTTTCACAATATGACCATTTGTTTGCAACTCACGCCGCCCTTCGACATTCATTGAAACTCCACTCTAGCCACCTGAAATTTGAAGGGCAATTTCTAAACTGCGACTGTGCCTTCATTTTTAATATTTCAGAGACATACTATGCATCAAAATGTAGGTCTGGGTCTTGTGATTCTCACAATATAAAGCTATTCTGTGTAGGATTTATAATTTTTAAACTACAACCATTTGAAGATGGCAACCGCCAGTGAAGTGAGAAAGTTGGAGCAGTTTGTTTGTAACCTCTTCTCTGCCCTTGCAGTAGAGTGCGTTGCCATAGGAACCCAGGTGTGTGAGCAGGCAGCAGAGTGACAAAAGCTACTCCCGCCCACTCCAGTTGTAGACTACTGGTGGAGGCAAGAACACTTCACACAATTTCCCCAGAAATTGTAGATTTTCTAGTTTTGTTTTCTATCTTATGGAAGATGGCTATATTCTTTCTATATTTCGGCTATATTTTCTGTTCTAGTCTGTTTTATTCTCTATTCTATTTTTAATACGGCAACATTCTCTATATATTTTGGCAATATTTTCTATTCTGTTCTTTTTGTAATTTTAATTCAAGAAGCTATATTCTATTTAATTCTATTTTTTTTATTCTATTGTATTCTTTTCTATTCCATTTCTTTATTTTCTATGTTTTTTTTGATTTTCTATTCTATTCTATTACATAGTTAGTCTGGCTGAAAAAAAGACAAAAGTCGATACATTTCAACCATTAAAAATGTGGAGACGCCATGGGGAAAAGTGCTAAAAGTATTGGTTACTGTAACAATGTAATGTGTACACCAGTCTACATTATCGCAGTAAGAAATGGTTTGAGCTTGGATCAGTGTCATTTGTTAGGACAGCTACCCATGGAGCGTTGGACAACAGGTGAGATGGAGCTGTGCGATGGTCCTGTAGGGCAAAGTTGCTCACCTCTGTGTGGTCCCTCCTCAGGGAGAGGGTCTGGGAGGCTGAGGAAGCTGCAGAGGCCAGTGAGTCCAAGGGGCTGGAGGGAATCCGTGAGCCTCTGGAGGAAGCAAGCTGAGGGACAGGGAAAACTCTATCAGGAGGCCATGTGGGGCTGAACAGCAAGGATCTGTCATCTAGGCTGAGAGAACCTGAATAACCAGTGGTCTGGAGACCAAGCCAAGCAGAGGTACTACTAACCAGAGAGCCAGGCAGCTTGGCATTTTCATTGTGTATTATTTTGAGTGAAATTGAAACCCCTTGCATGGGAAACCTTGTGTCGAAAGGACTTCTCAGTTACTGTTTAATAAAGGAGGGTTACCCAGTACTTCATTTTAGTTCCAAACTTAAAAAGCGCATCTACCACTGAGTGAAGTATCTTCGATATATATATATATATATTTATGATTCTATAAAGAAAAAGGAAATATTATATAAGCAGAGTTTTTGTAGAACAAAGAGAGAATTCTTTCAACAAATCCTACTTTTGGCTGGGAAGACACTCTTGAAAAGAATTGAAGTGAAACTTACTGGAACACCTTATACAGGCAATTGGCCAGGATTAGCACGCCTAATATGGATCCTCCTGTAATTAGAAGGATGACATATAACGGCATTTTTTTCTCTGCTTGAGGGTCCGTTCTTCATTCTCCTCCATATCGTAGCCTGAAATCATAGTGGGGAAAACAGAGAGATGAATGGTTAGAAGATGAAAAGATTAGAGATCCTGCCAGTAATTCACTTCCTGTCCTAGAGTGACAACACTCACTGTACAATACCCATGGGGAAGGGGGGGTATCCACATTGTCATCCTAGGAAGGACTTCAGAACACCCTGCGCTCTCTTTTCCTCTATAAACAGAGGGATAGGGGGTTCTACAGTCCTCGGGGATAGCTGGAAACAATGTAGTTGATAACAGTCAGCACAGAGATGTTATCAGCGGACAATATTTCTGGTAGAATCAAAAAGGTGCAATTTTCATATTTATTATACATATTTATTTTTAGACGACCAAACGATATCAAACAGAAGTGTAGTATTGGGGGGGTCTATATGCCCTTTCATTGCCAGGTCTGTAGACCCCTAGAAAACTCCTGCCTGTCAGGTGGAAGCAGTCGAGTGGTTGTACTGCCGTCCAATTGCTTCCACCCCCCTCCCCCCCAGTATCAAAACTGCCATATTCCGGGCTCCACCTACCCATCTGTGGACCCAGGGCCAACATGGCGGTTGACAGTGGCCGTGACCTGGAAAGTGAGGTGTACGACATCACTTCCACGTCACCCTGTCACTTTCCTCGGCTAGAATAGTTAGAAAGGAATTATTGCAATGCGATTTGCATTGCAATACATTCAGTGGAGCACAAAGGAGACATCCGGGGTCTTTTAGACCCCGGATGTCTCATTAAAGAGAACCTGTCACCAAAAAATCATCACATAGGGGGCTTTGTATCCCTTATGTGATTAAAAAAAAGAAAAAAATTGTATATATATATATATATATATATATATATATATATACATATACACACACACATACAGTATATCTATATACTATACAGAGAAATACACAGCAGCATGTTCTTGCTGGCAGGAGAAAGACCTGTGCTGTTTACACGCAGGTCTCTGTCCTGTCAGTGTTAGTCGGTGATCGCTGGGTGCCGGCGGGGAAATCTCCGGCCAGGACCCGGTGACTGACATGCCTAGCCGCCATTGGCAGCACGCGCAGGGTGGCGCATGCGCGTCCCCTACCCTTAAATGCAAATCACGAATATATATGTGATTTTGCGCAGCCCTGCCACCCTGTAGCAATAGTTCTACTATAGGACGGCGGGGAAGCGATTAATGGATGTAAACGAATGATCATCCGTGTACATCCGCTAGTCCATAGAAATACATGGGGGTTCGGCTGTACAGATGAAAAACAGACATACGCCCGTGTGAAAAGAGCCCTGAGACACCCATTTTTAAGTGACAGTTTGAAAATGGCAGTCACATGGCTACAATATAGATCCTTATCCTGCTGGGAAAGATTTGTGCATTGAGGTTCTAGTGTATAATGCTCACATTTGATAACTCACCTGGCCCCTCAGAGACAATCACATCCACCACTGGAGGTGGGGAATATTCCATGTCGCCGATGCTGAGACTGAGTTCAAACATACCGGTGTCATTCATCTGGATCGGATCCATGACCAGAGAGCAATTGCCTCTATCAACAAGTTTGTTGAACATGCTGGCCCTGCTGTTGAAATGCTCCGTTTTCTTGCGGCTGTATCTGTTTATGAGGGGGCGGTAATACCCCTCATCTCTGGGGACAAACCCCCACTCCATCCTGACCAAGTATCCTTTAGTTGGATCGTCTAGGTGAAATTGGCATGGGATAACCAGCCGCGATCCCACGCTGACGTCCATTTGTTCCGCCATTGATGTTACTGCCGTGACTTGCACAGCTGAAAAAAAAAAAAAAAAAAAGAGAACAATGTTATTTTCAATTAAAAGCTTTAAAAAAATCCAACAGAACAATATCATAAATGGCCGATAAGAGCAACAAAAAAAAATATTCTTTACTAATAGGAAAGTATTGATTGACTTTGAAGCTCGGTTCACACTACTGCGATCTGAAAGTCGAATGACTTATGGTGCGACTTTGCCAGGCGACTTCCTCCACGACCTTGCACGGGTAATCTTCCTGTGATGTCGGATCACAAATCACATCACAATATAGAGGAGGATCCAACTTGGAGGCCACATCCATTAAAGTCTATGGGCACAAGACAGATAGAAGTCGCCTTGAAGTAGCACAGGATCCTTTTCTAAAGTCGGAGCGAATTCAGTAGTGCTAATCCATGTACATCCGCAAGTCCATAGAAATACATGGGGGTTCGGCTGTACAGATGAAAAACAGACATACGCCCGTGTGAAAAGAGCCCTGAGACACCATTTTTAAGTGACAGTTTGAAAATGGCAGTCACATGGCTACAATATAGATCCTTATCCTGCTGGGGAAGATTTGTGCATTGAGGTTCTAGTGTATAATGCTCACATTTGATAACTCACCTGGCCCCTGATAGACAATCACATCCACCACTGGAGGTGGGGAATATACCTTGTCGCCGATGAGGAGACGAGTTCAAACATACCGGTGTCACTCATCCGGATCGGATCCATGACCAGAGAGCAATTGCCTCCATTAACAAGTTTGTAGAACATCCTGGCCCTGCTGTTAAAACGCCCCCTTATCTTGTGGTTGTATCTGTTTATGAGGGGGCGGTAATACCCCTCATCTCTGGGGACAAACCCCCACTCCATCCTAACCAAGTATCCTTTAGTTGGATCGTCTAGCTGAAATTGGCATGGGATAACCAGCCGCGATCCCACGCTGACATCCATTTGTTCCGGCACCGATGTTACTGCCGTGACTTGCACAGCTGAAAAAAAAAAAAGAGAACAATGTTATTTTCAATTAAAAGCTTTAAAAAAATCCAACAGAACAATATCATAAATGGCCGATAAGAGCAACAAAAAAAAATATTCTTTACTAATAGGAAAGTATTGACTTTGAGGCTCGGTTCACACTACTGCGATCTGAAAGTCGAATGACTTATGGTGCGACTTTGCCAGGCGACTTCCTCCACGACCTTGCACGGGTAATCTTCCTGTGATGTCGGATCACAAATCACATCACAATATAGAGGAGGATCCGACTTGTAGGCCACCTCCATTAAAGTCTATGGGCACAAGACAGATAGAAGTCGCCTTGAAGTAGCACCCTTTTCTAAAGTCGGAGCGACTTCAGTAGTGCTAATTGAGCCCTGCTTCACACTGAATGCGACTTCACTGGAAGTACCACCATTTCAAAGCTACAGATCAGTGCGATTTGTTCCTCCGATGTCACTGCGGCTTCCTACATCATTTATTAGAAGTGAAGTCGCAATGAAATCGGGGAAAAAAAAGAGTAGTGCGGGAACTAATTTTGAAAATCGCCCTACTTCAGATCGCACTGGTTAAGTCTCAGTTCACACTACTGCGACCTGGAAGTCACGTGATGTACAATGCGACTTCCTGGTGACTCGAATACTACTTGGATGAGACTTGATGCAACTTTGAAGCGATTTTCAGGGAATGCCTGGGTAATCTTCCTGTGATGTCGGATCACAAATCACATCACAATATAGATGAGGATCCGACTTGCAGGCGACTTCCATTAAAGTCTATGGGCACAAGTCGGAGAGAAGTCGCCTTGAAGTAGCCCTAAGTGCTAGTTCACACTAGATGCTGTTCAGTGTTTTCCATGTATTTCAATGGCTCTAGTTCACACTAGTTGTCAGGAATCCCCGCTGCGACGGGGCTCGGCGCAGGCGCAGTGCACCGCTCCGTGTCACAATGCGGGCACTGAGACCTGGCCGTCCACGGCGAGGGAGTTCGCTCATGCGCAGTGGGGGACCGCGGGCGCGCGCGCGTGGCACCAATGGCAGCGCAGGGCGGGATATTTAAACGGCCCTGAGCTGTCATTCAGTGCCTTCTGGTCTTTCCTTGTATCCTGTATCTGCGAACCTGTTCTAGTAAGTTATTGACCCGGATTATACCTGACCTTGTTGCCTTCTCCTGCCCAGACCCTTGCTTTGCCTGACCTCTCTCCTGAATGCCCCTGTTTGGATCTGACCTTCCGTTGCTGACCTGGCGTGTGACCCGACTACTCTCTGCCCGCTGCCTTGTACTGCTCCGTCCCCACTGTTACCGACCCGGCCCGTTTGACCCCGCACTTGCTCAGCCATCCACCCATCCATCCCGACGGGGATCACCCCGACCTCCTCACATCAGGCTCTTCCCTGCGGGAGCCCCTGGCGAATACCGCTACCACTGACGGGCGTGCTCAGTAGCCACGACCTGGTCTCGGGGTACTTCAAGTCCATCCCCACCATCAGGGGCTCTGGTGAACACGTACCCTGGGGCTTAGATACCGTGCGCTGGGGACGCCTGGCCAGTGGAGTGCTAGTGGTACCGCCTGGTGGTCCCTTACAGTACCAGAAGGCCATGACTGAGCCTGGAGGAGGGTCAGCCCCGCTGGGAGATATTTGCAGGCACCTATCAGCCCTGACACAGGCTGTGGCAACCTTGCAGGACAAATGCACGCACCTGGAAAACCGTTTCCAGACCCGCTCTGCATCTGGCCCTGCTCCACAGGCCCCTGTTTCCGCCCCCCCCAGGTAGAAGAAGCTCTGGGGCCAGCTTCAGGGGCCTCTGCTCCTCTACCGAGGGTTGAACCCCGAGTACCACTGCCTGAGCGTTTTCACGGGGACCGAACACGCTTCAGGTCTTTTTTCGGGATTCCTGCCTCCTGTTTTTTGAATTGCAACCCCGCACCTTCCTAACGGAATCAGTGAAAGTGGGATTTTTAATTTCACTATTGCAGGGTGTGAACCCCAAGATTGGGCCCATCGGTTAAGGGCAAACCATGACCCTCACCTGGGAACGGTCAGCGTTTTTTTTTTGAAGCTATGGCCATCCTTTATGATGATCCACAGCGGGCAGCCTCTGCTGAAGCAATGTTATCCACGCTTCGACAGGGCTGCCGGGCGGCAGAAGAATACGCCTCTGAATTTAGGTGTTGGATGGGGGACACACGCTGGAACGAGTTCGCGTTGCGACACCAGTTCCGTATGGGTCTGTCAGAGCCCTTGAAGGATGAGCTGGCCCGAGTGGGGGTTCCCGAGTCACTAGAAGACCTAATAGCCCTGACGATTCAAATAGACCGTAGACTGCGGGAACGCAGGTTGGAGAGGTCCGGTCAGGGTCACGGAAATGCATGGGGTCCAATTCCAGGCCCCAGCCAACAAACCAGAACAAAGATCCAGAACCCACTTCCAGGAGATGCGCAGGAACCAATGCAACTAGGCCTGGCTCGGCCTAAATTATCGCCAGAAGAACGCCAGCGGAGACGCTCTCTGAACCTCTGCTTCTACTGCGGTGAAGCCGATCATATGGTACGATCCTGCCCTCAGAAAATGAGTAAGTGCACCTCTTTTTCTTCTCTGGCTATTGGCAAGGTCAGGGTCCGTCCCAATACTTAGTGGTGCCCCTCTCCTTTCAGCTTCCAGAAAGGACCGTGGAGGGTGACGGCCATAGTTGAATGATTCAGGGGCATGCAGTTGTTTCCTGGATTTAGATTTTGCTCATCAGCAGGGGATTCCCCTCCAGCCCAGATAAAACGGGGCTTTACCATATTTCTGGCAGATGGCTCCCAGATAAAGTCAGGAGTAGTTTAACCAGGAAACTCCCCCTATCGCCACTACCATTGCTAACCAGCATCAGGAATTCCTCCGCCTAGATGCCATTGCGTCACCTCTTTTTCCAGTCATTTTGGGGACTGACTCCCTTGGTTGCGGGCCCATAACCCCCAAATTGACTGGGAAAACCGGGTCTATCTTGTTCCCGTCCCTGTATTGTCAGGAACACTGTCACACTGCGGGCTCTGCAGCCCCCCAGGTCCTCCTGTGCTCCGAGGGAGACTCCGACCTGAAACAGGTTATTCCCGCAGCATACCACGAATCTTAGATGTATTCAGTAAACGGGGGGCAGACACCTTGCCCCCCCCACCGCCCGTATGGACTGTCCAATTGATCTGTTGCCCGGCTCCGAGAGATCCCTTTTGGACGGATTTTTCCCCTGTCTGAGCTAGAATTGGGGGCCCTGAAGGAATACATAGAGGACAGTCTCCAGAAGGGGTTCATCCGTGCCTCTACTTCACCAGCCGGAGCGGGGATCTTCTTTGTAGAGAAAAAAGACAAATCTCTGCGACCCTGCATTGACTATCGTGAACTGAACAGAGTCACGATTAAAAATCGTTTACCCTCTGCCATTGGTACCCGAATTATTTCAGAGCCTGAAGGCTGCGACAATATTTACTAAACTAGATCTCAGGGGGGCCTACAACTTGGTTCGCATAAGGGAAGGGGATGAGTGGAAGACAGCATTTCGTACCCCGGTTTGGGCATTTCGAATATCTGGTAATGCCATTTGGACTGTGCAATGCCCCAGCCACATTCCAACATTTTTGTAAACGACATTTTCCGGGATTACCTTGACGTTTTTTGTAATATTTACCTAGACGATATACTGATCTTCTCATCCTCTCTGGAGGATCACAGAATACACGTGACAAAGGTTTTGGGTCGATTGCGCCAGCATGGGTTATTACGCCAAAGCAGATAAGTGCAGTTTCGAGCAGTCCAGCATCGCGTTTCTGGGGTTGATTATCTCCACCACGGGAATCGCAATGGACCCTCAGAAGGTCTCTGCAATTTTTGGATTGGCCTGTGCCCACAGACAAAAAGGGCATCCAGCGCTTTATAGGCTTTGCGAATTTTTCTATCGGAAATTCATTAGGAACTTCTCGGGTCTGGTCTCCCCCCATAACTCAGCTAACCAAACTTGGAACCCGCTTCAGATGGACGCCGGAGGCTCAGGAAGCCTTTGAGGCCTTGAAAAAACTATTTACAACACGGCACCCATTTTGGGGCCATCCAGACGCTTCCCCTGCCCTACGTACTGGAGGTAGACGCATCTGAGAATGCGGTGGGTTCCATCCTGTCCCAGAGAAAAGGCACCAAAGAATTACTCCACCCCATAGCGTTCTTCTCGAGGAAGCTCACCCCAGCCGAGAAGAACTACGATATTGGTGATCGGGAGTTGTTAGCCATCAAAACGGCACTGGAAGAATGGAGGGTACTTGCTGGAAGGGGCCTCACACACCCATCTTGATCTTCACTGATCATAAAAACCTCGAGTACCTGAGGACTGCCAAAACGGTTACGTCCGCGGCAGGCAAGATGGGGCACTGTTTTTCTCCAGATTCATATTCCATATCACTTACAGGCCAGGGTCCAAAAATACAAAACCCGATGCGCTATCACGCATGTTCGAAGACTCCAAAGAAGAACCGGTACCTGATACTATTCTGTCCTCAGGGAATTTCTTGGCTCTCCAAAACTGACCTTCGGTCCAAACTAATGGATGCATCCACGACCACAGTGACCCCAGCTGGGGTACCCCTCCAAAACAAGGGGGGGACTCCTCTGGAAGGAAGGATTGATCATGGTACCCGAAGAGGTCCGAACCCTTGTCTTGGGGCAGTGTCATGACCATCCAATGGCGGACACTTTGGCCCAGCGAAGACCCTGGAACTTCTCCAACGTTCCTTTTGGTGGCCA